CTTGAACGATCGCAAGCCCTAACAGGAGCGTATTCACAATCTTCAGATATTGTAATGCTAAGCCCGAGAAGTCGAAGCAATCCCTAACATAGCCCCATGCAAATCCACTCCTGAACTATCGTTCGTCATACAGTAGTTGGAGTTCCTTGCATTTATCACATGCTTAGCATACGAATGTTTTGTGTACCTCTACTGACTCGACTCACATTGGACGGACTACAGGCGGGTGTCCGCGTCATAAAGCCGAAAATTGGTAATTTCGTTTCGAGCAAAAGGTGTTTAATGTAATGGAATTGACTACGTTCGGTACCGAACAATAGGTAACAACTCCGGAAGAGAAATCAGCAACAGAATCCGTTGGAAGCCCCATACATCCTCCAGAGACGAAACGCAAGTTTTCACAGGTGAGTTCGGACGAAGGAAGCACCGACGACGAATCAGGAAACGAGACGCTGCAATCGAAGCTTGACAGATTGGCGGGCGACGATAGCACGGACGATCCTGATTTCAACGTAAGTATTTCATCAAATAAAAATGAATAATCCGAAGAATAAATAGAAATATTCATAACGTCCATTCTAGCCTTTTGCCTTATCGTATCAACTGAAAAATTATTATTGCTTTCAGTTATACGTTAACTTTAATTAATCTAATTATAATTTCATTTTATAACATTGAGAATTAAGAAATCTGAATTATATGTATATGGTTGTTCTACTAGCAAAATTGCAAAACTGCAAAAAGTGAATTTTTCGGGAGGAAAGAGAACCACTTTGTATATTAATGTAAAAACACCTTTACACTGATTCTATCCACCAACTATTTTACTTTACAAGTATACACTTATGTAACTTTACACGTACATATATAAATACATACGTTGATGAAAAACAAATAAAATCTTGCAGTCAGCTCAAATTCACAGAAATTGCATTTTCACAACTTTATATGTATTTAATGTTCTCCTATACAATTATATTATAATTATAAATACAATAATTATGCATACCGCGAGTATGAGAATTTTATAAAACAGATAAAACATTATTATTCAAATACATATACAGCTATTAAAAAATGATGCAAATAGTTGAATGTTTAAACTGAACTTAACCCTGCTACGGTCCTCAATTTAACTACATGTAGGTACTTACTTAAATACACTTAAGGTCTTTGGATCGGAAACGACCCAAATAATGCGAGATTCGTATTTTTAATTTTATAATGTAACGGGAGGATGAAGGAAATACAGAAATATGTTGTTGTTTCTTTTATAATATATTTTATTGCAGAAAAACGATATATTGTGTTCCAATTATTTATTTATAACAAGTTTTACACATTTGGTGACAATGTCTCTTACATATTTTCTTTTCTCTTATTATCAGTTCTGTTACAAAAATGGCATCTACCCCTCTTTGTATGGCTCAAACTGCAGCTGATGATGTCGTTGCAACAGGCTCCGTCAGATTTGTAATATTTTCCAGCATCTCTTCCGCTGTTTTCGTTCGTGGACAGTGCTTTCATTGTGAAAGACTTCGTTGATGAAATAGAAAGAAACGCATGAGAAAAAATACTTACCTATACTGTCCCAGAAAATCTCACATTGCATCTCTACAGCGACAAAAAAATTTGTGCTTCGTATCAGAATTCCGATTCCACCCTACGATAATTCACTTTTTTGCCACTAATAAAAGGATTCTAGTCGTTTTATGCTAATTACCTTTTCGTTCGACTTTGTCATCACCCACTTTTGTTTTGTTTTGTAAGAATTGACTATGATTGATTTCTGCCTTTTGATAACGCTTCGTTCACATTGGGTCAAAAGAGACCCAAGGGCCTAATGTCTAATAATTTTTCTTACCAACACGCAATATGAACCCAGACAATGAACGCATAATATTCAGAGAACGGAAACAAATATATTCATAACAATTTCATTACATTTTTTTGATAACGACAGAAGTTCTTAAAAAAATAAGAACGTGTGTTGGGTCGAAAAGGATCTAAAGACCGTAGTAGGGTTAAGATTACTTTGAACGTATCGTGTAAATAAAATTGTCCGTAAACAGGACGAAAAATACGTTAATATCTATTATTCATTGTAACTTTAATTTTGATTTTAATTTGAATGTTTAAATAATTTTAACAGCTCGCAGAATGCAGCACGGAATCGAGCACAGCGAGCAGCGATAACGGAGTGGACAACGAAGTCTCTTTAACCGAGGTGGCTGACGTTCTATCAGAAGTCAAAAACCCCCTCAACGATGATAGAGAGGAGGTTCTGCTCCTTTCCCTAGAGAACCTGGTAAAAGCAATATACGTAGTAGTACTGTGTTCATATTGTATGTCATATTTAATGTGGACATAAAACAGCCTAGTGAAACACTTGAAAACTTACTCTAATTAGCATTTCTACATTCGAGGATACGCTTTATTCTAGACCAGTGGTTCTTAACCTTTTCAGAATCACGGAACACTTCCAATTTTACAAGACTTTTGCGGAACACAGTCGTAAAATAAAACAGTATATACGTATATTTTTTTATATTGCATAATAAATAAAAGTCACATAAATAACAGTTTACATATTAGTCAATAGCAAATAACAATCAGTAAATGAAATTAAAAAAAAAGAAAATTGTCACAATTTTTTTAATGGGATATTTGGGCCTGATGATTTTTACAAATGTTTTCAATATCTGGTCTTACGTGTGAAATAGCTACTCTTCATTTCCTCTTCTATATTTGTCAGCCTTTCACGTTTCTTTGCCTTAGTATTCGTTAATGTCGAAAAACCAAGCTCGCATAAGTACGATGTTGAAAATTGTAATAAAATTTTAATCGCTTTTTCAGAAATAGTTTTAAACTCGGTTTGTACAGAAATCCAAAATTCTTCAACTGTTATTTCGGAAAATTTCATTTTGAGAGTACGACCCGTTGTAACGAAAACTCATAACTTGATGTGTTGACTGCAGAAAATGGATTTCGTGTCCAGTCATGATTTTCGATATTCAACGCGGGAAAGTATTTCGCAATTTTTCCTTCTAATAATGTTAAATGTTGTGTTATAATAGGAATTATTTCATCGATATTGTTAGTTTTGGACTGAAGGAAACATGTCTACTGTCCTTTTTTGAATTGTGCGCGTTCTCCAAAGTGATACTTTTTTTTTTTTTTTGAAATGCTGACAGTTTGTCAGTGGATGTTAGAATATTTTCGTTTTTACCTTGCATACCAGTATTCACGTTATTTATATATTATAAAATATCGTTCCCTTCGTTTTGAAAAACCGTTTTAGTTTTTCACTGATTTTCAAATTTTGGCGGAACACTTTCTCTAAGTTCACGGAGCACCAGATAAGAACCACTGTTCTAGACATTAGATCATTTTGTAAGTCCGTGTCAAATTTTATAATGAAATTTAGAAAATTTTCAGAATAGGTAATCGTTTTTTCGTTTCTAAACTTCTCACTTTTTTTTTAATAGTGCCATAAAATTTCTTGGATTTTTCATTCAAATATTCTTCGTTTTTGCCACGAACTTATGGGATGACCTAATAATAAACAATATGACACAAAAAATTCAGTATCAAACTCTAACGTAAATAAAGTCTGATCGTATTAAAAGAACAAATTTCAATTAATGCGCTTTTAAACGAATAATCTGAACATTGACCAAAGTCCTCTGCGAACGATAAATTCTTCTTTCCAATCGAGAAAACACACTGTCTAATAATAATAAATTAAGACCTTTCTTCTGATCTACAGTATTCACTGGATGATCCTTCTAGAGTTTCTCATCTTAAACATGAATCCGCAAGTCGAATTGCTCTACCACCCTCTGTTTTTCAAAAGCATGGAATTTTTGTAAAAACGTTGAAGAAAGTTGAATTTAGCTTTAAAACATAAAACAAAGTATCTTGAATATATCAGTGTACACAAAGTTTAAAAAAAAAGAGATATGTACACTTTCTACGCAATAATTTTGTATTTCCACGAAAAGTTCTTTATCTAGCACGAATCTGCTACACAATATCGGATTCTGTAGACACTTATGAAGAAGAAACTGTCCAGAAAAAGTGCCGAAACGGTTTTTAATCCGAACAGGAAGAGAAAATATCTGTCGGCAACATGTGCACGGTGTCCACCACAGTGTATTCTTAGATAATAATCACGGAATTATAAAGAACTTTTCCTGATCACTCTCAGTTTTAAACAATTTCGGTGTTCAATGCACGAATACGTATGACTTATTAATACGAAGCCTTTGAAAAGCAAACAATTATTTATGAACTTAAAAGATTCTTATTATTATGATTTTGCATATTGAGAATGCTATATATTTGAATCTCATTATATAATATCTGAAGACAATGTGAAACAGATTTAAGCATCATTTAGGTATCTTTTTTAAATAAATTCATTGTTCAATTTTTTTGAACGACAAATTGAGATAGGAATGTAATACAGGGCGGTGGTAGAAAATTTAAGGGGCGATTCTAGAAGCCAATATAAGACGAAAATCAAGAATAAAGAAATTGCGTTTGAAGCTTCGTTTTTTAATTATTAACGTTTAAAAATATCCCCGTAGCCTAGCAACCCGTCTTACATCAACGAATATAGGCTACGTTAAGACACGGAGGGTACGGTAATTCTCGAAACCAACGACACATGGCCATTTACAGCCATTCAAAAGCACAAAATTTAATAACTGTATACACTGATATATTCAGGATACATACTCCGTTTTATATTTGTAAGCACCACTCGAAAACAAAGAATTAAAGTCAGGATAGTGCGGTATCCCAAAAATAACTTATTCTGTATTCCTATGCGATTCTTAAGGTTTCCGACGTCCGTCTCGCTCGACGGCTATTTCCAGAATGTTCGTTCCACGTCGCATCTCACGTAGCTCCGAAAAACCGTTGGAGCCCCCTCGTTCGACTTTCCGGGGAAAGGGCTTAGTTTATGGGACCCTCAGGTACCCGCGCGCTTTCTCTTCCTGGGTGACAAATTCCAGGCCACCACTTCGCCGCCGGAATCTCGCATATCTTACATATTTAAGATTAAATTGTACTTTCCAGTGTTTTTAGTTTCCACGTAATACTTCATTTTTGCGCAAAATCGTGCGTGTTTACAGAAACCCATGTTTTTCAAAATCTGAGGAAGGATTACGCAGTGGATACTGCAAATCAGGGAAAAGGTTTCAATTTATTAGATAGTGTAATCAACGAATAGAAATTGTTGACTCGCTCGAAGTAATAAGAAACACTCGTCCACGATAAAGTTATGGCACTCGGTTCGAATTCTCGCACCGTTTCCTCGATAAAATTATAGGGAAACAATTAGAAGTGATAAATGACCTCGTAAATGTGCATTAATAGCCATGGAAACTCTGGAGATAAGTCTGTGGACGCATAGTTCATCGCTTCTCGATATAAATACGCTGATACATACGGCGTGTTCGTTATCAAAATAAATATTCTGCTGGCGATTGTCTAATTAGGAGAAACAGCGTAGATAATGGTGAACAGAATGTAAATAAACGTTCCTTTTATTCGTGTCTCGCTTCGAGTGTTGGCTCGTTCAAGAAATCAAATTTATTTATGGCAATGTTCTCACTAATTCGAATTCGGAGATCTTACTCGTTAAATTTTATTGTTCAATATGTAAAGAATTATTACGTTAGTGCATATTAGACACATCTTGTTCCTTTCTCTATTTACGTGATTCTATACACATTTCCGAATGATTATGCTATTATAATAAAAATCATCACTCGTCGAATTGAGAAATTTATTTATTGTCTTTATTAAAAATGTCTTCACTTTGAAATAATATGTTCGTTAAAACAAATTGTACAGATGGTTGAAAAAAAGGGTAGTCTGAATATTTATGAGAATTGCCGTGGATTGTTTTCAATAATTTCTCTTAAAACGTTATGAAATGTCATCATTCTTGAATTATGCAAACCAACGTTAATGTGTCCTAACATTTACATAACCTTCTTTAAATGCTAAATCTATATTTTCAGCAATTTTTACCGCAGTTTTTGCGTTTAAACGTATATAAAAACATTACACGCATATCCTGATTATTTATCACGTTAGATAACAATGTCGAAACAATTATATTATGAATTCTTTTACTATTCAGTACTACAAAGAATTTCTTCTTCCTGACTACTGTGCACTAAAAATCGACCCGTCAATTTCAGTCGTTGAAGAAACGACAGACCATTTGTACCAAGCTAATAGATCCGTCTGAACATAGATTTTTGGTATTAGTAAAAATTTCATTATCGACGCAAAATGCTGATTTTTCATATCAAATAGACTTCATCGTCACGAAAAATAGCATGCTTCGTCTTTCACACGTTCGAGCAATTTCTCACGAAAAGTAGCGGGTATGTTTAATTTTACATTGCAGCAATCGACGAGATTTTTTTTTTGGACCGTGTAAGGTCAGATATGATCGAATCTGATCTAATTAGAATTTTGTCCTCATCTGATCATAATATACAGTATTCCTCGCTTAATTGACGCAGGCTTGGATCTGCGTCACGACTGTTATCGAGGGAATTGCTGGCTGTTATCTCTTTTCGGTTCGTTCGCTCCTTCGGTGCATCGGAGGCGAGAGTAAGAAACATTTTCATATTTTTTTCCCTTTGGAGATTAGAGGGAGTTATTATTTATTAAACAATATTTTCGAAGTTTCAAATTTCAACTGACCACACGCCGAAACGTGTTATTTTTCACGGTAAAATCCAAAATGTGCTATTCTTCGTGGCGAAACGGTATAATGTCTTATCAAACGTCCTAATATTCGTAAGAAACGACAAAATGTGTACCGTACTATTCTTCGTAATGTGATGCCCGGTTTGCTCCAATTCCTCGGAACTAGGAGCAGATATTGGGGTATCACTGAATTAAAACTCTTCAGGATCGTCGTTGCTCAGAAACAGAACTTTATCTGATAGAGATTTTGAGGTTACGTGACGTGCGCGTGGTAGAGTGGAGAAATGAACGCGGAAATGGAGAAAATAGGGCTATTTAACCCTTTAGATACGGTACGCCACTATAGTGGCTTCCGCGGATGGCATCAATTGGAACGGTACGCCATTATAGTGGCTTTCGTTTTTTTACGGAACGCCACTACAGTGGCTTTCGTGGATAGCACCAATTTGGACGGTACGACACTATAGTGACTTTCGTGGATATCATGATTTTCGACGGTATTATACGTTTTTTGCTTTATTTCGCATCCTGGCAATATCGAAGCTGTCGTTGAAGAGTACACGTGTCAGAGAATCGTCATGAACGGTTTTTGTGCCATCCGCGGCCAGGCGCGCCGTCCCAGGGGTACCCACTTGCGGACGAGCGCGCCGTACCTAAAAGGTTAAGGGTTCTGGGAAGGCGGACTCTGGGTTGTAACTATGCAAGAGGGTTGAGAGGAGAGTTGGAAGGCGAAGAGTCCAGTATGAGTAATGGTGAAAGTGGGTGACTAGTTGTAAATGCAGATAGAGCTAAAGAGTAAGAAGGAAAATATTTGAGGATGTAACAGTAAGACATATGAAACATGCTACTTTTTGTGACACATGTCGTAATTATAAATGAAAGTGATAAATCGATGTTTCAGGTGATCGTATAGAGCAGTTCAAATGGTATTAATAGTGAATGTAATGTAAATTTGATATTCATAAAATTGTACATTCGTTATTCACGGTCGAAACCATTGGACAATAATTCACACTTACTGTAATTAAAATGTAGTGAAAGTAACTCAGCTAACTAATTTGATTAGCAACTTAACAATATGTAATAGCATTTAATCCTTAATAAAATTGAAATTGAGCCTAACTTAAATACAATTTATCTTAACAATTTTAATTCGAGTCCAGTTTGGTTTTTACTAGCCTTAATTGAAATATAAGTTAGATCTAACTCAAGTCTAGTGTATTTTAACATACTTAATTCTATTCTAATAAAATCTTAGTCTACTTTAGCTCTGATTTCATTTTGTTCTTATTTTAATTGAATTCCAACTCGAATCCTGGAAACCTGAAAAAACACTTTCATATTCATTAATGCTTCTCTTATTCAATATTTCTTCTAAATATTTGAAAATTTCTTATATTCACCAATACGATGATCCAAGAACTCAGCAAATTACCAAATTGAATGGTTTCACCATAACACCATGTATACACCCATCCATAAATCACTGAACGAATAATATAAATAATGAAAGTAACATTTATTAACACATTGCAAAAGATTCTTCGTGCAATTCTGACAACCTATCGTAGTAAACATTTTGCTTGAAATAGGTAATTGTAAATATTTCAGAAAAAGAAGGTACACCATTCTGAAGCGTCTAGAAAGAAGGAAAAGTTCGGGGATTTTTTTCGTAGGTAACTACTAAATGAAAAGCTTCACTTTTTTCAGAGGATATAAGTGTAACTTTCATCTTTCTTCTTGAATTTTTAAAAGGTAAAAGTATTCCAAAAT